GAGATTCTACTCGCACTGTATTGTCCATTCAGTCCTTTTCATCACATTGCAGTTCCTCGGTTATTACGTACATTGCATATCTGTGCATGTAACAGCGCCTCTCTCCAGTTTGCTGCGCTACCTGTTTACATGCATGTGAGGTGTGAAAGAAAGCGAGTCTGATTGCAGTATTAGGGGCATATTTCAGTCTAAAATTCTAAATACAGCTGTTATGACTGTTCGTTGTATTCGGGGAAGAAGGTAGTAAACTTGATGTTCATTGTAAAAAGCCAGCACTCAAACCCTGAAACCTTCAGGGTCCTCTGTCATGTCCAATTCATATGCAGGGAAAACCCTTGATATCCTGTATTTTCTGATCAGCCACTTAACCCGCAATTCACACTCTAGAGCTCTGAACTCCTGCATCATGCACAGTTCATATCTCTAGAAATCTGGGTTAGGCCGACGTCCGGCCCAGACGGACCGGGCCAGACGGACCGGGGGGGGTCCGTCCGGCAAAACCAGACGAGCCAAAAAACATCCCAGGAATTTTATTTTATTTTTTTTGAAGATGGGGTTGGAGTGCGCTCGCTGAGAGGAGCCCGAATCCACAGAGAAACTTGTGAAAGTCATGTGTGGGCGGGCCGGGTTGGAGGGGACGTGGAGGGGGGGATTTGACAAGGGGGTAAAAGGGTGTGTTGTAGCAGCCTTTTCCTGTTTCTTCTGCCGTTTTGCCCCTCCTCCGTCCAGACCCATCACTCCGCCCTCCAATGTCGCTGGCACCGCCCGCCATTGTGCCGTGGAAGTAGAGGATGCAAGGACTCAGCCCGAATCCACAGAGAAACTTGTGAAAGTCATGTGTGGGGGGCCCGGGTTGGAGGGGAGGTGGAGGGGGGGATTTGACAAGGGGGTAAAAGGGTGTGTTGTAGCAGCCTTTTCCTGTTTCTTCTGCCGTTTTGCCCCTTCTCCGTCCAGACCCGCCACTCCCCCCTCCAATGTCGCTGGCACCGCTCGCCATTGTGCCGTGGAAGTAGAGGATGCAAGGACCACCAGCGAGGGAAAAAAGAAAGTTCAAATATCGGAAGAAGAAGAAGAATGAGAAGAAGAAGAAGAAGAAATACAAGGAGAAGAAGAAGAAGTAGTAGTAGTAGAAGAAGAAGAAGAAGAAGAAGAAGAAGAAGAAGAAGAAGAAGAAG